GGAGCTCAGGGGCTCTCAGGCACCAAGAGCTTGTGGAGCTCAGGGGCTCTCAGGCACCATCCCTGCTCCCAGGTAAGTTGGTACCTTGACAGTCATGTCTTTGTATGAACCCAGGAGAGGATGGACTGGTCCTGGCATCACAGCCAGTGCTCTTGCAGTGCAATCCTTGTAGACCCAGTGAAGCACTGCAATAAGGGGCATTGCAGTCTAAGGTCATGATTTTCCTTTATGTCAAACCGGGTGAAAAGTACAGCTCATTCCTTTCCCTCCTGGAGCTAATGATTAACATATCAATTAGGTATGAGAAGAAACAAAATGTGTATGCTTAAGATAAAGTAGACTGTACATGAAATAAGAAGGTATTGTAGTATTTGTTTTAAAAACAAAGTGGGAGTTATTTGCACYGGTTTGTGCAGGCCAGTGCTGTGTGATTTCAGGGAGTGATACCATTTTCGGGGTAAACATGATTCATTGTGGTCTACACTCTTTAAGGCTGATTAGGAGCTGGGAGGGTCTCTCAGCTTGTACCTTCTCCCATCCTGTTTTAGAAGAAACAATGGAACCGTCAAAACTAGAGTCTAGAACTGAGGGCTGTCTAGTGCGTCCAAGAAGAATGGCCCTTGTTTCTCTTTTTGGGACCAYCAAGCTTCTGCTGATAGGGGTGAGGACCCTTTGTGCTGGAGGAGGTGGTTGGAGTGCCTGACCTTGGCCAAAAGAGAGGCACAAAGCAGCTGATAGGTTCCCCAGTTAGGCTCACTACAGAAAACTGGGTGGCCTTAGCTTGGAGGCACTTAGGCTTCTGACAAGAATCTCACAAAGGCCACAATTCCCTTCACTGGCACATTTTGGATTGGGCTTTGTTGACAAAGGTATGCCCATAGAAAATCTATCAATAGAATCCTGCTGGTTGCATTCATTTGGGAAGCTGTGGGGGGACTTGCATCAATAACGGGCTGTGCAAGACTTCCCAATGAAATGCTGTTAGGAGGTTTGGGTATTGTGCTTGGGGTGTGGACACTGTGTTTGTACAGCTCTACTGCATTGGGAGGAGCGGGTGAAGTGTGCTCTTGATGTCCTTGGGCACTTGTGTCACTCTGTCCRTGCTCTGTAGCCAACGTTCAGGTGCACAGTGTCCCAAATGAGCAGATTGCTGTAGGGTGTCCCCAGCTCAGGGAGAGGCTGGGCTGGGAGCAGTTCATCCAGCCTGTCTTTGGGCTGATTTTTAGCTTGCCTGCTTTGGTAGCTGTAGCTGGACAGCTGACCACCCTTCAACTGTTCTGCTCCTCTCCTATCCTCTGCAAACCCCATACCCAGCTCAGAATAACTCTTAGCCATTAAGGCTGTATAGCTGTGGTTAAATCTCTGGCAATTTGTGTGGTGACAGCAACAAAGCAGCAACTCTTGAAGCATTGATGGGGCTTCAAAGAAAGCATCGTTTAACACAAATTGTGAGCAAGGGGTGGCTTCTCCCTTCAGAGCATTGCCCAGGTGCTCTCCAAATGTCACAGTTTCCAGTGTTGTTGGTGTGCACACTCAGAACACAGCAGTGGTTGCACCAGCTCCTGTGAGCTGGCAGAGGCAGAGCTGCCCTYGGGACTTGCTCTCCCTGGAGCAGCGCTGTGCAGTGAAAGTGGCAACTTCTCAAACGTGTATCTCAGGTGCTGTCTTTGGGGCGTTCCTTGAAATTGGGAGGTGAGTGGGTTTTTAAAAGTACTACAGCCTCCTGTCATGGGGGAAAAACCACAGCTTTTTTTTCAGAGGGTTTCTGCTTTTGCCACCATATGCTGCTCATTTAAATGACTTCCAGCTTTTAGCAGTAGAGAGGGAACAAACACAGTCTCTTTTTGTAGTACTGTTTCACTGTTTCTAACAAGAAGGCTCACCCCAAACCCATGGTGAGTCCTGGAAAGGTCTTGACATGGCTGCTGTCCCTTGCCSTGTCCCAGTCCTGCCCCAGCTGTTAGTGGGCAGCTGTGCCTGTCCTTTGGCCAGCTCCAGGCAGCCCTTTCCAGCACAAGGGCAGAGGGCTGGCTGGCTGGAGGGGACAGGGGGTGATGCCCACGCACACTGGGCTGGAGGGGACAAGGACAGGGGGTGACGCTCACGCACACTGAGCTGGAGGGGACAGGGACAGGGGGTGATGTCCACAGACACTGGGCTGGAGGGGACAGGGACAGGAGGTGATGCCCATGGACACTGGGCTGTAGGGGACAGGGACAGGGGCTGCTGCCCACGGACACTGTGACCCACTTGTGCGAAGAGGCAGCATCCAACACGAGTCAGCTGAGCAGCCGTGCTGAGAGCACCCGGCTCCCACTGCAGGGTCCAAGCTTGGGAAAGCCATTTTGTTTAATATTTCAGCAAGTGTTTCATAACAGCACTTTGTACATGCCTTGAACATGCTTTGTCAACATGTCCCTGACACTTGGTTGTAGYTTAAAACTTCTAATGGATTAGTCATAAATACTTCAGGAAAACATTTCTTGCATCTCTGCAGTCCTGGGCAGCTGACTGTAACTGGTAAARGCCAGCCTCCTTCTTCTGTGTGGATTTGGACGTCTCAGGGCACTGGGGCCCTGAGTTTTCGGTATGGCAATCCTCTGGCAGCAGCAATCCAGCTCCCCATGGCTCAGAGGTGGGACAGCTTGAATGGCAACCAGAAGCCAGGGCTGTGTCAGAGCTCCAGCACAGGGATGTCACCATCTTACACAGGACTCTCAGAGCATTTGGCATGTGTTTCTGCCTCCACTGATTGTAACAGGACCTTCTTAGAGCTCTTTCAGCCAAAGAGCTGCTTGTTAGAGCTCCTGGATCCAGCAGGAAAGAAAAGCCCAGACCAAGCCTCTGGGTCACCTGTCCGTGGAGAACAAGCAGTGGACAGAGCTGCTGACACACTGCTATGTAAGGTCAGAGCTCACAAGCCTCCATGCTCTAAGTCTTCCAGGCATTGCTTTGACTGCAGGTTTGGGGCTGTGGGCAGGGAAGAGGGAAGGGCCTGACCAAAGTTCTGTCTGCCATGGGACGTGTTCCTGGTAGGATAGGATGGGTGGGTCTGTGGTGCACCCTTTCAGAGGGACRGAAGAGGCAGCCAGGGGACCGGGCCCACAAGTCACGGATCTTGTTCTGCACTCCTGGGTGTGGCAGGGGCTGGCCCTGGCCATAGCCCTGCCCTGGGCTGTGTGCAGGAGGTCCTGCAGCCTCCCCCCAGCAGCAGTGCAGGGCTCTGGGTTTCCATCAGGTCCTGCTCTGCTCCTGCTGGGAGGTGCCAGCCTGGGCTCTGCAGGGCAGGCAGGAACAGCMGCTCCCGAGGAGGAGAGTGCATGGCACCTCCCGTGCTCCAGCGCAGCCTGTCACACCCCCTCCTGGGCTGAAGGGAGAAGGGCTGTGCCTCCATCCTGGAGCATCCTCCTGGAGCGAGGGCTGATGATGGTCAGAGAGCAGGGGGACGGCAGTGCTGTGCTGATGCCGTGCAGGGGCTCCCCTGGAGCTGGGCTGTGCTTGTGCAGAGGCTGCCTCTTCTCTCTTCCTCCCCTTGACGAGAGGGGGACTGCCTGAGGCTCAGGCACAGGCTGTACTCGTGCAGAAATTTGGGGGGTACTGGGCTCCCCTCTCTGTCTCACTGGGTGGTGTCAGGGTTTTGGCATTGTGTAAGCTRAAGCACATCATCCTCCACCCTCGCTCTGCAGAGCTGAAGTAGTGATTGGGGAATGGTTTYTTGAGCACAAAGCAAGCCTGGGGGAGAGCCAGGCTGATGCCATGAGCTGTGTCCTGCCCAGGCTTCTGCCTGCCAGCACCGTGCCCTGCGTGAGGGCACATTTCCCACACARACCACAACAATCAGACCCAGGAAAGCTGTCAGGAAGGACAGTCACCTGCCTGCTGCAGTTCTGTGTGTGACAGCCTGGGCTCAGCAAGGGGGAACCAGAGATAAACTGCTCCCATTCCTAAGGGGCCTGAGGAGCTGGCACAAAGAGCAGGCAGCATGCTGGCCTCAGGTAAGAGACCCTGCCTGGAGAGCTCCATCCAAACCTGTGGCTCCCTCCTGTGTGCTCAAGCAGTTGGCAACGYGCAGTAAATCCCAGCAGCCTGCCAGGAGCCTCTGGCCACAGAGGATTTCTGTCCATGGGACAATACCTGGAGCATTTGGGCACCTGTCCCTTGGCCAGTGCGGTGACACTGCACTGCCACCTCCTAGCCTGTGCCTCGGGTGCTGTGCTGAGCTGGGAGTCCCCTTGCATGCAGGAGGGACAGAGCTGGAGCAAGGACTGGTTCCTGTGCTGTCATCCTAGAGAAGGAGGCAGTTCAGTGTGTGGTAGGGCCGGAGCAGTGTAGGGAGCAGCTGCTCACTGGAGCAGGCTGAGCAGTGCCAGTCTAATCCGACAGGCTCCAGATGTGTTGGCAGCTGGGGAAAGTGGCACCTCCTGGAAAACTGCCCTGGGGGCCTCCCCAGCCTCTCCTGCCTCTGTGGCCCAGCCACGCCTGTTTCTTGTCCTCCTGTGTGTGTTGTGAGTGTGCAGGCAGCGCTGCTGCTCCGTGACTCACCAGCCCCTCTGTGCCCGCAGTGTATGTCGTGGAGGAGCGGCGGAGGGACGACACGGGCGAGAGCGCCTGCCTGACGGCGTGCTGGACCGCGCTCTGCTGCTGCTGCCTCTGGGACATGCTGACCTGACACCGCCCCGCCGCTCACCGAGTGCTATGCAGGCTCCCCAYTCCTGTCCCGACTTCTTTCTGTTACTGTAATCAACGCTCTGCTTTGCACAGCCAAGAGTTCCCGTCTGTCCGTCCTAGCGCCTTGTCGGGGTGGGGGGTGCACTCCTTTATTTTAGGAAAGGAAAAAAAAAATCCCTTTTTAACATTTCTAAGACTTTTGTTGTAATTTTGAAGAATGTGCTAATGGTGTATTTCAGCCAAAGGCATTCTGATGAAATGTATATTTACCAGTTGAGATTTTCCTAGCCCTAGAGATGAAGACRTACGCAATAATTAAAGCCAACAGTTGATTTTCTTCGCTAGGTCCCAGCTGTTTCAGTAAATCTGTGTGCAGGRCGGGTGTTCTCCCTGGTGCTGGCTGTCCTTGGCCTCCTGTGAGCGGTGGCTCTGGAGGTGGCAGCTCTGGGTCTGGCAAATCCAAGCCCCTGATTCCACACAGGTTTTCATCCTGCAGAGATGGCCCCTCATATCCCTTTCAGGAAACAGGGCCCTCCTGGGGAGCAGAGCTGGGGGAAGCAGGGGCTGAGCTGCTTGGTGTGTGCACCAGCAGCTCCTGGGGAAGGGCTGCTCCCAAGCTGTCATCCCTCATCCCGTGCTGCTGAGCAGAGGCTTGCAGGGGGTAAATTAATGGCAAAGAAGAGACAAACCATGGATTAATCTAGTGCTGAGGATTTAGAGCTGGAACTGTTCCATGGCACGCYGGGCCAGAAAAGGGATAAAAAGCTTTTGTTTGCAGAAAAGTGGGGAAAACCTGCTGCTGGTCCCATGGSGGGTGTGTCCCACCCTGCTGCTCCCCCAGCCTTGGGAACAAAGGTGACCCCGGTGTCCTGACACGCACTGGCTTTGCTCAGCACTGCCTGGAGATGATCAGGGATCCCGGATCTTTGTGCAAAGGGCGTTGCACTCACTGCCCCTTGGTTGTGCAGCCTGGGTGCTCCGTACGGCTCCACTCAGGGCTCAGCAGTGTAGTTTGGGCTCTGCTCTGGACAAGCTGATGTGTTTGGGGTTGGTGAGAGTCCCCTGCAATCCCCAGGAGCCCTCTGGAGGCTGCTCCTCCTCCGCTGCAGTCCGAAGCTCAGGTTCCCAGAGGTCCCTGCCCTGAAAATTGTCACCTTCCCTGTCACTGTCACTCCCTGGCAGCTTGGCAGCTGTCAGGAATCAGGAGTGGAGTCCCTGGCTCACCATCCTCAGTGTGGGGGAGGGAAATGGAGCAGATGGCTGCCCTCTGGCCATGGYCCTGCCTGCCCCTTCCAGCCCTGTGTCCCAGCACAGTGCTCAGCACTCCCAGCCTGGCCTCAGATGGGAAATGGGAAAATGACCCCAGAAATGGCACTGCTGGGCCCAAGTGAGTCCCAGCCCTGAGGACTCACCTCAGCTCCTCACTCTGCCTCAGGCTCCAGCAGGTGCTGCCCTGGGCCGATTGTCCCCAGCCCCCAGCATGGGACAGGACCAGGACTCGGGTTCAGTGCCTTCTGCTCTGGCAGCTGTCACAGTCCAGCCAAGTGCTGCAGCAGCACTCCCAGGGCCACAGCACCTGTGCTTGGGGACATGGAGGGGACAGGACAACTCCYCCCGTGGTCACTGCACCCAGTGAGGGTCTGATCCACCCTGTGTGGCCAGGTCTGCTCCCTCCTCTGTCACCAAATGGGGACACCTGTCCCAGGACACCTGTCTGTCCCCCACACCTTTCCAGATGTCAGCACGCACAGGAGCTGAGGCTGGGAAGCAGCACAGGGCAGGTGATGGATGGAAGGTGCTCCGCACACCCACACAGGAGCTCAGACACACCTGCTGGGCTGGGAGCCCACCCATGGCCTGGCAGCTCCCAGACCACCAACCCCTGATGGGGCCAGCCTGGCAGAACCCACGGGCACAGCCCAGCAAGAACCCAGCCAAGGACACGTTCTCTGGGGCCTTTCCCAGGTCTGTCCCGATGGAGCTGCTGACCCATGTCTGACCTACACCCATCCTAGGGGAGCCCTCTGATCACCTTTGGGGTCCATTGCTGATGTCTAGAAGTGGGACACTATTGGATGCAGGGAAAAGCTGTTTGGGATTGCACAAGACTCACTGTAGGATGTTTCAGGGCGGTCCCCAAGGCGGGGGTGGAGTTGATTTTGAATGTGGAAAAGCAGCAAGGTGTGGGGCTGAAGGGCCCAGGCGGGTATCCGTGAGCAGCTGGTCAGGGCACGTGTCCGGCTCCTGATCCCCATAGCCTGCCCGAGTTATCAAATTCCCCGTGAGTGAGGGCTCCCTCCCGTGAGTGTCCCGGGGGGAGCAGCCACGGTCCCGTGTCTGTGGGGCAGCGGGGCCACGTGTGGTCACTGCTGGAGATGAAGCCGGACCCGCTGGTGACGAAGCCTGGGAGCCTGGGGACAGCGAAGGGCCAGCCCAGGGTGGGACAGCAGCCGTGTGCCTTTGGGGTGACAGCACGGGGGGGCGGCAACGGGACCGGGAAACTCCGGCCCCGCTCCGAGATCCCGGGAACCTCGGGAGGGACGGGGCGGGGCCGGGGCCGTGCACTGCCCGCAATGGCCACACGGTGGCGCTGTCCGGCCGCGCACCGCAGAGAC